TTTTTTTTTTTTTTTAATTTTTAATTTGGTTAGTGATTAGTGTTTATTTTCTAAACCACTTTAGGAAATGTGCTCTTTGCCCCATGTCTGAACCAGATTATGTGACTGACTTACGGACCAAGAGGATCTCAGAGTAAAGCTTGGGAATGCCACCAGCATGATCTAATGCACCAAGTCAATGATTAAAAACACAGAAACGAACGAATCCTGACCTGGGTCGCCATCCTCATCGTATCTGTCCAAGTCGTACTCAGCCAGCTCATCATCACCTAGTGTCCTGTCATCCTCTGGGTCACCATCCTCCAGCGGCTCCCTGGGTCGTGCCTGGGTGCGAGCACTCCGCATGCTATCTTCTGAAGGATCACCTGTCTCCTCTTCATCACTGCCACCTTCTTCTCTATGGGAATGAAAAAGGAAAAAACAAAACAAAACACCCAAATGGCACTGCTCAATCACAAGACTACCTTGTCATCATGACTGAAGATACACACTTGATCTGGAACTTTACTAAGACACCAGTATTCCCAAACTTACTGTAATTTTTCTTTTGCTTCAGCAATGAGGCGTTTTACTTCTTCTTTACTCAGCTCTACCTGTAAGAGATCAGACACTTCATGAGATTACAAGACACAGTAAAACCTGCAAAAGCAGTGTAAGGTGGAAACCTGTCAGAGAAGAAAAATGCAAGTAATTTCTACTAGAAGGAGCAATAGAAAAGAAGTAAGACTACCCTGTCAAAGGTGGAAAACGTGCAAGACTGGAGACTCAAAAAAACAAGGCAGTCCTAACAAGTTCCAGCTCTCACAGGTTTCACTTATTTAAGAAAATCATTAGAAGTCTTTGAATTTAGAAGAAGTCTGCGTAATAATACCATCGCCTGCTTTAGTTTTGTCCATGGCAGTTATCCCTATCAGACACTGTATATCTTACAGATTCCTTTTCTACTTTCTGTGCCGCCCTCCTCCCGCATACCCTATCCCACTGTGGAAGCTTCACTAGGAGACCTGTATGCTGTGAAACAAGTAAGTAAGTGGTATGTGGGAGACAGCTTCTAAAGCAGTACCCAACAATCTCCATTTACTGATATTCATGCCAGTAATATCCCCTTGTGTATGGGTTAAATCTAATGACTTGCTTCTAACCAATAAAAAAAACAAACAAACAACCAAACTTGCTGCTGTCGAGTAGATTCCAACCTTATTGTGACCCTATAAGACAGAGTAGAATTGCTCCACAGGGCTCCAAAATAAAAGAAAGAAGTTTGTAAACAACGTCATGGGACATAAGCAGCAAACATGAGAGACCCTATTTTAAGGTAAATGGAGTTTTCACAGGTCCTTCCAATTAAGACC